GTACACTACTATTTGGTATGCATTTTTTTATTACAGTTCCTGTTTTTTAGTTTATTTCTGTGTAATTTGAAAGTGATTTTCTAAGCTTTTGAACCCAGCGGATGTTTCAGTACATCATGAGGTCTGTTTGCTAAATTGGGTCAAGAGCTGAAAAATAGGCTTGGTTTCTCTTAAAATATTCATAACATGACATTTCAGATGTAATGCAATACCAGAATTTTTCTTAATTTGCTACTGGTTTTAATCACCGCTTCTCATATTGTTAACAGTAATTCTTCAAGGAAAAGGAAATTAGATTAACTGAATATATTTTACAAGTCTGGGTTCTGAATTTGAGGAAAATATATAGGACATGGAATCTTTCAATTCTGAACATTTACACTTCTTGTTAAAATGTGAATTAACCATATTAAAGTTTTTTTTTAGCGTGGGGGTAACCACATATTTTTAGGATTATATGTAATAGTGCCTTGCAGTTCAATTTGTGATGTTGTGTCACTGCTGTTAAAAGATTGGTTACTTCTTAGACTTATTCTATGAAAATGTGATATTGTAATTCATTTGAAAAGGTATGCTAATGAGTGACCGTGTCTGGCAGTTGTAAACGTGAAGTATGCTATTGGGCTATAAATATTGTGTCTTATGTGCTTTTTAGAAGATTTTCAAATAGCATGATTTAATCTAATCTTGGATATTTTAGTAGTAATACATACTCATGTATTTTAGGGACACTTAAACCAACATTCAAAACAATGGATCTAACAGTGTGCTCCAGTTGACACAAGTGTGGTGTGCAGCTAACTGTTTAGTAGCAGTGATATGCAGCAAAGAGGAGAGCAGGGCTGGATGAGTCAGTTTGTAGTGTTTTAACAGAATGACTGTTCAAGTGGGAGTTCAAGAGCTCACAAGAAAAAAAAAGAAGAGAGGAAAGCAGATGGTGCACTGAGCCATACTGTGTGACATAACTGTAAAGTACAAAGACATTGGACTTCCAGCCTGTTGGTAAGAGTAGTTGAATGGGTTCAAAACAGGCGTTCTGACCTCACTCACTTGTGAGTCTGGTTGAAGTTACAAGAGATGTGTCACAGCATTGCATTTATGTGCAAAGAAGGTTATAGCTGTCACGGATGTTGGAATGGACAAGCCGTGGAATGGCAGGAGAGCGGAAAAGACCCTATGCGTAGCGTTGAGACGGGGGTTAGCTGTTCAAGAAATGTCGTATGGAAACCTATGCCCTCAGGCTATGGACAGGAGTGACCTGGTGCTAGGCGGGTCTCAGGACATCTGAACCTCAATGCTGAGCGAGGAGCCGAGCCGAAACAGGAAGTAAATAGGCTACACAACAAGACACACCAGAAAGACATGAATAATCACAGGGAACTAGGTACAGAACAGAAGTAGAGCGCCTTCTAGGTGTACTGGGCGTGACAATAGCAGGCAGGCCTCCTTTATGTTTTGAGCAATTGTAAGATACCTTGTGCAAAACTGATACTTTGTTAGGATGGAGAACATGTTATTTTTATATACTGTACATGTATATGTGTAATCTGAACCAGCTCAGGTTTTAATGGTTTTATAGGAACTATAAACAGTGCAGGATAAAAAAGAAAACAGCTGTAACAAACATTTCCTAATTAGACCTAATTAGCCTTTATATGGATTGTCACTAAAATTCTGTTCTACTGTTTTGTTATAAAACGTTTACAGCATGTTTGATCTTGGGTTAAAACTTGTCTTTGAAACCAGTTGAATGTTGGAGCATGCATACATCCCTTGAAATATTTGCTGTGTGCAGCCTCTGCTAGGGGTGTGTTGAATAGCATAATGAAACTGTATTGCGCAGTGCACATTTTTCTGGAATATGTTTTATTGATTTTTGCAAAATGCACAAGTGATAAAAGACTTATAAGAGCCTTATATTTACAGTCCTTGGTTTGTGCATGTTTTTTTACTTTTGAAATATTACTTCATATTTATTTAATTTGTATATGCTGATATGTTTATACTTGGTGTGCATATGAAAGACACTACAATTTAAAAAGAGCTAGAATACATGGAAGCTTGTTTATGTAAAAGATACTGAAAATTCAACAATTATCAAAGCTGATATATCACCCTCCTATGAAGGAATCACTGCTTTGTGAGATGAAAACCTGATAACATATTAATCAAATCACAATGATAAAATTAATTTTAAATATTCGTGAAATGAAATAAGTTTACTGTATATCCGATGAACTCAGAAGTGAAAAATATTTTTCATTCTTTCCTAAAGCCAGCATTGAGTATACTGTATATAATGAAAGTGAAATATAGAAAAGTCTACTGTTTTCTGTTCTTTGCATGTAAGTAAGTGCTCTGTTAATATATTATCAAATAAAACATGCTTTTAATCTTTGTGAAAGTTTTCTTAAATATAAAAATTGACCATTACTGTATGTAGAAGAAACTCTCATGATTTGAAACATATAGTGTTAAAAGATTTTAAATCTTAAATTTAACTTAATGTTAACTTGATGTAAACTAACACAAATCGTGATCATCTTTCCCGTCTGTCCAGCAAGTGATCCAGAATTTAGAAAGATTCCCACCTCCACCATTCTAGCGTTAATAGAGTAGATAAGCAGGTCCTTATAATTATAAACAGCAGAAATAATTGTAACAAGGGGCTAAATGCTTAGCTGTAGTTTTAATTAGCTGGTGCTTCAAATTAATAATTGCTGTTTAAATCAGAAATCAGTGACTGTTGTTCACTGTTAAATTCTAATAACGGTGCTGTTCGTTTTCCATTATATCTCACCATGTGAGGCTTTCATTGGAACTGCATGCAGTGCTGGGAATAAAAAAATGGTCAGAGCTATTTGGTTATCTTCCAAGAGCAGTGGAGCTCAGTTGAGATTAAATTCATCCCGTTTACTGTGGAAATCAGAATTAGCTATTTTATGTTATGTGGGGAAGAGGAGGAGGAGGTGGGTTAAAAAAAACCTGCAAATGCCACATTTTGCAGGAGTGATAGCATCAGAGAGTCTTGCAATCTGCTATTTAAATTGTCATCTGGAATTTCCTATCTAATTAACTGATACAAAAACACAGACAGAAAAACAGAATTGAAGCTGGGTGCTCACAAGTGTCCCTGAGCACATGTCACACAAGGCCTGTCAGCAGTGCAAGTTGAAGCTTGTTTTTTTATTCTTTTCTTCTCAGGTTCTTAATTACCCCCCCTCCCCATGTTCCCTCTAAAACACCATTGCATTAGGAGTGAAGTTCTGTGTCAGGGGACCAGAGTGCTTTAGAGCCGGCCATGACAGCTGTAAATTTGATCTATCAGCCTGTCAGGTCGGGCTGTCAGGTGCGCACAGTGAGGTGACATGAAGATAACTGACATCTTGCTGTCATTACTGCAAGGGGTGCGTCATCAATCTTTCTTGTATTTATTTCTTTCCCCCTCTGTTATTTTTTTCCCGTTAAAGGAATCGCCTGTCGCTCCCAAGCTCAGCCTCGTTTTTCTTCCCTGTGTTCCCTTCCAAAATAATCTGTTGATGGATTAAATGCTTTCGAAAATCTAAAAAGTACCAAAAGTGTGCAGAGAGCAAGGGCAGATTAAAGACATTTTCTCACCCCCTTTCTCTGTTCCTGCCTATCACAACCTATGGCACGCTAGCTCTTAATCATTGTGTAATGTGAAAAGATCTAATATTTATTCCACTCTTCCATTCCATTGAGTGAGACTGCTTTTTCTTACCATTTGGTTCAACTGAATTTATAATCAGAACATAGAGAGATGCAGGAGTGCAGTATGGACTAACACGGAATAGCTAACAGTGTGATCTCTTATCGGTGCTCTCCCATGTACTGAATAAAGTATTTTTCATATTAAAATATCATTTAAAAACTGATAAACATTAAAAGTAAACCATGTGTTTATGTGACTATTAAAGCCTTTCTGTAAATCTATGGAATAGCAGACAATTAAAATATTTAATTTCTTTCACGTCTTTAAGTCCTTTTCCTAATGCCTGCTTAACCACTTCAAGGTCTAGAGGGAGCAGGCAGTTAGCAGCAGAGATGGAGCTCTGGTCTACATTAGAATTCTGGAATGTGTGTTTTATTATGCAAATGAGGAGTCTGATAGTGTAGGGTTGATTGGCAATGTCCTTAGTGGCTCTTCTTATCCAGGTACGTCTCTTCCTGAGATTTAGCACGAAACGCCTTACTCTAATCAGCTATATCCAGCCTTTGGGCCTTGGAGCACCTCAAGGCCAAATGTAATTAATGGCAGACATCATGAAGAGAAACACAGCAGAGCCAAGTGGCATCGGATTACACCAGTTAAAAATCATACATATATTGCAAGGCAGTTCTTAAATTCAGCAGCAGAGGACACAAATCATGAGAATTGCACATCTTCAACTAGACAGCTCAGCTTGTAACAAGCTAGGAAGCTTAAGTCATACTTTCATGACCAGTAGCATGATACATGAGTGAAGTTGTGTCACTGGAACCAAGAAAACACAAACACAAGTTGTGACTGCAGTTGAAGTAAAAGAAAAGGTAATGATCCAATCTCCATATTATGTAGAACATCAAAACAGATTCAGCAATTCTGTTCTTAAAATTGAATACATTTCTCAATTTGATTTTTTATATTACTAAATAAAATTATTATTCTTAGTGGATGTCTTTGTAGCATTCTTCACTCAGATTTTAACACCAACCTGTCTTGATTAGCTGGTGCCTTAGCAGTATTTTGTCTTTTTTATTAATTTAGCATCAAAACCACTTTGGTTTTTTTTTCTGGCCTGCAACAAAAAAATTAAGTGTATTTTACTTATTTTATCTCTTTGACTATATATTTTCTTCATCTGCTTGGTGTCAACTTCTCTATGACAGAGATAAGGGCTTACGTCAAATCTTTTCAAGAAGGGATTCAACATCTATTTCTCGCATGCCAAGTTGAATCATTCTTACCATCCTTTTTCCTTCTCTTCCTGTCTTCACAGTCATTATGAACAGGACCGCAATGCACTGAAGAAAAAAGAATGGGAACGCAGGACTCAGGAAGTTCAGCAAGATGAAGATTTGTTCTCCTCTGGGTTTAACCTATTTGGTGAACCATACAAGGTAAGAGTATGAAAAGATAAAATCTAAGATTGCAGTTTTTCCCTTTTTTACAGGCATTATACTGCTAGAAGAAACAGGATTGTTAAAAGAAACTCAGCATGGAACTTTTTTTTGTTATTTTGCCCAACATGACTCTCTAGGCCTGCAAATAATTAAGTTTTTTCCTGAAGATATGTGCTCTTTTCTTCCTGTACCTACCATAAAATGGTTTGTAACAGATGTCCATCACTTTTTGTCTATTTGTTTCCAATTACATCTGAAGAAAACTTTCCCCAGTATTTATATTACTGCCTTTTCAGTCTTCAAAAACCTTTTTTGTATTTATGTTAAAGCGGGTGTACAGTATATCCAATGCCATTCATATCTCCACTGTATACACACAATATTGCCTGAGCCCAAAATATTTGGAATCTACTAGCCGATTCAGAAACACTGTAAATAATAGTGAGATAAAACAGAAAATAAAAGTGTTGTCTGACTCATATGTTTGTGTTTTGCCATCTTTCTTAGCAAGTGCAATATTAACTTAATCACCATATTTTATAGACACATTGAGAAAGACACCAACTACTTAATTTAATTGTAAGGTTTTCAAATGAAACATTGTAAGTAATCAGCTCTCTGATTATTATGATTTTATCTCTGATTTTATGTCAAAATGCATAAAGAGTTGTATTTCAATTGCATATTTTATTAATAGATTTTAGTATTTTTGAGTTAATAACTCAAGTATTTTCCTCCTAAAACAGTATCCTTAATTGTTCAACATTAGCATTATCAGTAATGTAAGTCCATGTTTAAAAAGAGGTTGTAGCCCATTGATAGGTATTAATGCACCAAGCTGTAGTGGTAATGGTTTGCAATCTTGAATTTAAGAGCAGTAACAGGGAGCAATCAGGGAATCAGGGAATTGATGCCTGACAGTCTTCAAATTCAGCAGTTTCCCATCCTTCAAAACAAGCCCATTGAGTATGTTATATTATTTTTCTGTATTTTCCAGAAATCAAATAATTTATATCAGGTATTGCTCCTGTTTTCATTTGCTAACCTGCTTATGTTTTTGATCCTACAGATGATTAACAATTTTGAATGATATTATTTTATAGACCTTGTAGTCGGCATGCCATGGTGTAGTATAATAAAATCTTGTATCTTTTATAGTGGAAAAGTCTTCAAACATGGGTCTGGGTGTGGAGGATTAGTAGCCTAGTGGTAATTCAAAGGGAGCTTGGTTAATTCGAGTCCTTCCCTGCTGTATATTGGAAGGAACAAACACAGATCTCATCCTGTCCACTGGATGGTAAATATCAGTAGAGCTATTTATAAGGCACTGACAGAAGCTAGTAAAATGTAGGTTAATGTAATTCCATCAGACTTCTTCATTTTCTACCTATTTCATTTTTGTCATGTGCATTTATCATTGCCATTTGTCTATATTTATGATCTTTTGCTGACATACATCCTCACTGAACCATTGCAGAAGTTTTTTTTTTATTTTTTCCTGAAATGTATCCATCTCCTGTAACCAGCAGATGACAAGACAAACCATTTTGAAAAATGTCTTTCAAAGAAAAGCTCACCAATGTCAATTCCAAGAAATTCTTCATAGATTTGAAATTTGGATCAATGCAACCAAAGCAACAGAGCCATTTCTCTGCTGTTTATGTTGTTTTCCAATCAGACTAGATTGATATACCTTTCATAAAGGAGTCGACATTTCCCTTGGCAGGTGAAAATGACCTTGCGAAAGTCCCTGACTTACTTCACCTCAGGGACCCAGTTCATATCTAATGAAGGATCTAATAAGCTATGCTGTGGAGCCCTGGAAACAGAATCAATGTTCCAATAAAATCATTCACGTTACTCCTACAGTCCTTGCGAGTTAGGTTTTAATTTCATGTAGTGTGCTCTTAAATGCCCCTAGTTATTTCAACCAACATTTAACATAACACAAGAAAATATTGTATTCAGAGTACATACAGTAAGTAGTCTAACCCAAACAAAGTTTTTTTTTTCTTCCTGTAATGAATTATAACTTCAGTGTGTTTGTATATGTGAATATACACTTTATTTCCAGGGCTTACAAGGCAGTATACATTTCAATTATAATCATTTTAGAACATAATGCAGAGTAAATCTGGTTCTACCAAAGAAGCCCTATGGAATGAAGTGTGCACTATGCCTTTTACGTGAATATGATTGTAGAATTGTACATAGCACAGGTCAGTCTCCCTTTCACCTCTCTTGCATCCCAGGAAATATGCACATACCTGTATATGCTGTAGACCTGCTTCTAATCACCTGCACAATCATCATTTATTCTAATTTGGCAAAAAGAGAGGTTCTCTGTAAACAATGACTTTCTTTTTTAGTTTTATTTTGTTTCACTAGATACATCAATTGAGAACAACTTCTCATTTACAGTGACAACTTGGAAACCCATTTCTATAGCAAGGCCAATATGGGAACAATCCAAGTGAAGTTGCTTGCTCCAGTGTACTGTCTCACACTGTACACACACACAGCTTGTATGAAATTCTAGTGGCCGATAAACTAGCTTTTCTTTTAGGAGATAATCCTGGAAAACATTTATTGTCTGTTTTTCATGCTCTTTGCACAACTCATTAGATCTGTCATTGGCATGAGGTTATAATTGTCAGTTTAGTTATTATTATTCAGCCTGATTATTACTTGATTTTAATTTTATTTTTTAATCAGTTGAGCTTATCTTTAATTTTTAAATTTTGTGGAAATAAAATGTAAAACACAGAACGTGCTCACATAACATTTTAAATCTCATGGTAGTTAATTAAATAATGTATTAATTTATGTGTTTCCATTCAACAACTGGCAGTGAAAAACAAGGGTAAAGGTTAATAGTAGTATATCTTCAGTGCTGTGTGTTCTGAGAAAATATATGTGTAGTGCAGGAACTGACAAAGACCCTATTTAAATCAGAGTTAATGGTTATCTCCTCATTCTGCTGTTCCTTCTAGTGCAGTTACAGAAAGTAGTAACAGCCCCCTTTTCTTTCAAAAATGTTCTCATATTGCACCCATCTCTTGGGCTACCATTAGCTAATCTCCTTTAATCCTGTTTAATGGAACTGTGCTGTTAACAGCTATTTCTGATCTCTTTACTGCTTACAGTTCTGTCGGCTTTATCAAAGCAGACTGGGTACTCTCAGCAATCTGCAGACCTTATGCCGTAAGCAGTGGGCTAAACTCGTATCTGTGCTTTTAGTTAGTGGAGAATTAACTTTTTGTACATTTTCTATGAATCCTGTGAACACTAAATTAATGAAAAGTTTATTTAAATAAAGTTCAAATTAGTGACTTTGGATCTGTATTTTGCTGTATGGTTTCAGTCACAAAGATTTGTTTTTCTCTGCAAATATCAACCCAAAACCTTTCAACGCCAAAAAACTGTGTCCGGATGCAGGCTGCATAGATTTAGAAGTAGACATAGGTAGCTGTAAATTTTACGTCATCTTTCACTGAAGAAAAAATGTTTTATTCTGAAACAAGGTTGAAGGAAAGGAATACAATTTAGGAAAATTAATTTATGAAATGCCATTTTCTTCTGTACAGCAATAATTTGTGTTAGAAAGACCTTCATTGAAAACAAATATTTTCTACTTACAATTACTTTCTTACAATTCCATGGCTGGTAGGCTTTCCCAGATACTTTATCAGGTAGAATATATCGCGGTTGTATGAAAATATTTGTGCATTACTTTTTGGTGACGGTTTCTTTTTATATACAGTAGTTTACATTATTCATACCATTGCATAAATTATAAAGAATTGCACCTTACAAATACATTCTCCTCTTTGTTTTCCTCTTTCTATTGATGTTTTTTTCTTACCATAGCTTCTACTAAGCTCATATGGATTGTCCATACTCTAAGATCCTAAAGGCAGTATTGGTATATTAAAGATATAGTATGTGTGTGGGCACAGAGTAATAGAACCTAAAGGTTTCTTCAACTGGGAGCCCAGTAACATGCTTGAAACAAAATGATTCTAGAATCAGTTCTTGTTTTTGTTTTGATTCTGGGATGGAGATAATGTTTCTTTGCCTTCTTCTGAAACACACCAGTATTGGCATCCCTATTACCTTTTGGTTGTTAGTTTCAGGCTGGAAGGTCTTATAGCTGAAAAACACAGTTTCTATTGTAAATGCTGCCCATTCATGAGAGAGAAAAAAAGGCGAAAGCCTCCATACATCATCCACTACAATACAAGCTGCCTTTTAAACCAAGATATTGATATCAACAAGGATTCTTATATGGTAATGTGATACAAACTAGAAACCTGAAAAAATAATATACTATATAAATAGACCCTTGGCATGAGCACAGTAGTTTGAATAACTTCAGAAAGGTAGGGAAGAAAAGCAGGTAGAGTGCAGTTCTGCATCAAATCAGAAAACCTGTATATCTGTTTTACAATTCATAATCTGTCCATCCATACTTTTCATGCTGTATGTTAATATGGAAATCAATAATACAAATACTGCATATTCATACCATTACATTATTCTCACTCAGTTTACATTTTTATATGTTTTTCCTAAGCAGTATACAGTATACTGTAAACGGTTATTTGCACATTTTGATCTCCTGTTGACATCATTTGGCTGTCTGGGAACCTGAATTCAATTAAATTAGTTTCAATAAATTTAAATTAATAAATTGTTAATTATGTGTTCAAAGCACAGAACAACATTGACAGTGTCTATTCAATGGATTTCTTCTGAACCAGTAGTGAAAACACAAACCAGAGCACAGAAGTTAAAACTGTGGGGAAGGGCATTGGAAACAGACAACAGGAGGGTCTTATAAGAATCTGGGACAAGCTACTCAGCTATGGTGTCAAAGCTGATACATAGCTTCCTTGAGGAAACAGCTGAATGAAGTTTGATAGAAGTTCGATAATTTAGCTACTAGAAGACCAACAAAGATTGGCTGAGTACCCTCCTTTCATTGGTCACCTTTTTTTATCTTCTCAAGGTACTGTATAAACCCTGTCCATTCCCATAGTAATCTCATGTTATTCAGATTGAGATACAAAGCAGTTCTTTGAAAGATCACTCATTAATTCAGAGACCGACAACCTGAAACTTTGACAGCATCATTTTGAAGTATTTGGGAATTCATCTTTGTTTAAGTGCCTTATTCCATTAGGTCTTCACAGTTTTCTCCTACAACCTTTTATATGTGAGCAAATTAGTGAAAAAGTTCATTAATGTCACAAAGAAGAAAAATGTCATGTTGAATTACTTTAAAAACAAATTTGAAGGATAAAGACCCAGCAGTTAGGATCTCAATTAAACATCTCATATAAAAGATTACACCTCAAACAGTGCAGTTGCTCTAGTCACCTTAATGAGAAGTTAGTTTATGTAATCTTAAGAATTAAATGATTAATTAAAGTTCATCTAATAATTCGGCCATCCATCCATTTTCTAACTGCTTTTTAAAATACAGTGTTGTGTGACATCCAGAGGCTGTCCCAGCAAGCAATGGGTGGAAGGTGGATGAGACGCCATCACACGGCATTCACAGACACAGACAAACACACTTACACCAGGGCCGATTTTCACAGAAGCTCATTGACCTACCAGTATATTTTAGGAAAGCCAATGCTAAGTACCGCGCCACTGTGCCACTCCTACTGTATCTAATAATTAATCTGTGAAAATGTCTTGAAAAACGTTTGTAATTCATACTGCATTCGATCTACTATTAATACAGAAAAACTTTGTAAACAGGGTATTATAGAGCTTGTAAAACTCTTAAAATGCCAGTGAAAAACAGAAAAGTTAATAAATTTGTAATCAAATGGACATATTTTCCTGCACAATAAATACAATAAATCTTCTTAGAATTCAGGAGTTGGAATTCAAAATGTGGTCTTGGCTCCATTTCAGATAGTTTGCATAGCTACCATATTGGTGTAAACAGTTGGTATAAAAGGCCTTTTTACATACATATTTGTTTACACTGAAGATGACAACGTTGAGGAGTTTCACCTAACAGCTTTAACCGTTTAGCCTTCTTATCCTAAGTACTAAAAATAAGAGCCCTGCAATTGTTTTAAAATACTTTAGAAAATCTCCATATGAAAATTTGTCTGTAAAAATATTTTGGGAAGAATATCCCATTCCCCTTCTGTGTACTTAAATCACAGATATGAGATCATATTATTTTGTGTAACCCTTACCCATTTGATCCGATCACATATGTATTTGTGTTATTATTGTACAGTAAGTAAAGAAGAAACGTGCATAGAAGGGAATTGCATAGGAAATATATCCTACTGTACATTTTTTAGCATTAAGTAGCAAACAAGTAATGGACTTACATTATATTAAGGTGCTAATGCACTTCATAAAATTAAAAATAATATGTGTTTAAAAATAATTTAAAATAATAGACTTGGGAGAAACAGATTATACAGCACCTTTTCACATTCAATGTAAGAATAGTTTTGAATAAAGTTAAGAAGGAGAATTACACTACTGCGAGTAAGTAGTTTGTTTCATATGACAAGGAAAGATTCTGAATGGGGACCCCTTTGTTTCATCATTGTTCTGAAACCAGATGTATTCATCTGGATTGAAGAAGATACAAGTATGTACAGCTACTCTGTACTGTATATCAAGGAAATATGCTAGTGATTCTCAAAAAGCCCTGTACTGCCGATGACCATGATGTTATACAGTAGATCTACAGAAAGCACTCTAAAGAAACAGATCTTTCATTAGCAACAGTTTCATCTTATGCCCTGTAATGATCCCAACAGCACATTTAATCATTGTACAAAACTAGGCTGCTTTTCCTTACAACTTGTAATGATCTCCTGTTTATTCTGCTAATGTGCAGTAAAACAAGAAATTTGAGAAGCTTAGGATAACTGTCCATTAGTACATTTTTTTATTGTAATAAATCACTTTACTGCAAACATTATTGCCATTAAAGATTTATGGAACATATTAAAATGCCTTTTAGCTTGGGGTAAGAGAGGGTCACAGTTAAGGATTCTTCAAACAGTATACTTGTCTTGGATTTAGTTGGAATCTACAGCTGAGTGAGCAGTTTTCATTAACAGCAGACCCCTCTGGTTAACCAGCTACTATCTCTCCTCTTTATTTTCTCTGTGACCATATACCATGACCTGTTAAATATCTTATATGACAAAGGTGATGCTACAGAGACAAACATTTAATAGCTATGCTATCAAATGACATGAGCTTTTGTTCAAACTGGTTGAAATACTTTTTTTAAATGAGAAAATGGCACTCAGTGATCACCAAAAATAACTTTTAGATAGATACTTTATTGATTCTGTGAGGGAAATTGCAGAACTTTTGTTATTAATCTCAGGGTCCTGTTCAATCTGGTCTATATATTCTATTTGGATACAACACATCTAAGAAAGTATCTTTTTATGATAATTTTAATATATACCACTTATATATCACCTTTACATGTTTTATTTATTTCTAGCCTAGATTATTCGGTTGACACTTTTACCTAAAAGATTTACAGGGATCATATTTGGCTGTTTCATTAACTTACAAATTTAGTTCCAAATGCACACAGCTGAGTTTGCACAGCTTGTTAAAGTACCTGGTTGAAGGATAGAGCAGTAGTGTCTCCTCCTTGAATCTCAACCCAAGACAGTGTAGTCAGGAATTCAAAACCCTGAACTGTTACTCCACACTGCCACATGGTCTTCATAGCATCTAGCCATTTACGTTTTGTTATATACTAATCATATTATACATAATCATATACACATACTAATCATATTTTGGTAAAAGTAATTACAATAATAATGAATGCAAGTAGCAAGATAATAACATAAGAGAATCATGTACAGTATATCTTTAAAAGACCTAATGCAGATTATTGGGGTTTAGGTTAGGATAACAGAGATATTCAGAAAATACCAATATATGAGCAACAGAGGACAAATAAGCCTTGATATTTCAGTTTGTTTTTCTTTCATGAAATGCTCTCTGAAAAGTGTACTTCAAAATTTAAAATAAAAATAAAGAAGGAGCATTTTCAAAATATGGGTTTTAGACATTTTTGATTAAACAAAGTGGCAGTTGAAAAACTGGACATCATTAATATGGTAACACTTTGATACATGTAATACATTACCAAAGCTTAATTTTAGTGACACTAACCTATCGGTTTTATTACTCCCCACTATTATTGCATCATAAATGTGTCTCTTTACACTGACAGACAGAAGCGTCAAGTCAATCCACTTTGGGGGGGATCTACAACCCAGACCAGTTGTTAAAGGTATATTTTAATAGATCCACCTTATACCTAAAAAATATTGTTTTACACTTAATAGAGATGTATGCTTTAAGTATTTCCTAAAGTTTTCATTGATTCCCCCATCCCAAATGGATTAACAAGATGCTGGTATTTACAAATTAAAAGCCTCCAAATAATGTGGATTGCCTTTCTCTATTTTAATTATATCAGTTTTTGATCATCTTTGCATAGATGAAGTGATATTAAGTTATATTACACTGCATGTGTTAATGAGGAGAGAAAGAATAGAATGATTGTAAAAATGTGTGGTAAATGCCTTAATACTGGAACATATTTACGTAATCCCTGAAATAGATTGTGCCCTCTCAGAGGCAGTCAGTGATTAGTTTATGGATATTGGACAATGGATACTAATTTTTGATCCAGTGGTTTCTTCTGTAAATGTACTGCAAATTATAAAAAATGACATTCATTTGAACTGTTTTTCTTATTTTTCTGCAGACAAACAAAGGTGATGCCTTAGCCAACCGTGTCCAGAACACATTAGGAAACTATGACGAAATGAAGGATCTCCTGACCAACCACTCAAACCAGAGCCACTTGGTGGGCATCCCCAAAAATTCCATCCCACAGACTCCTGTGGAGAAATCAGAACAGTCAAGTTTCTTCTCAGAGGGTCAGAGGAACAGGATGGCTCCCTCACATCAGAGTGCTACAACTTCTATGCCACCTCCCTCTTCCACCTCTCTCTCAAGCTCTACACTGCTACATGGCCACCAAGGCAACAAGAAGTCTCGATCCACAGAATGGTCTCGGGGCACCCACAGTTCAGCCACTGGACAGCCCAGCCAGGCTGGTGGCCAGCAGTGCGGTCGAGCAAAGCACAACAGTTCCTCCCATGAGCCATCCCAGACCAGATATGAGGATTTGTTCAGTAGCCAAGGAGACCTGCATAAAGGAGACTCAAGTCCTGCTTCTTCATCTTCCCACTCCAGAAGACATGTTCATTCTTCCAAGTCTTCTACTGTTGATCAAACTTACAAAGAAAGCAATCACTCTAAGTCTCCTGCAGAACAAGACTTTGGCTCCCACGGTGTCAGTTCTCCACTTCCTTCTACTTCCCTCATACCTAGTGGACTTTCCACTCCAAATTTTCCTCCTGTTCTCCATAGCAAGCCCAGCATAATCCAACAAAAACCTACTGCCTATGTAAGGCCAATGGATGGCCAAGACCAGGTCCCCAATGACTCTCCTGACCTCAAGACCCCAGCGGAGATTGGGGATGGCTACAATAACCCGTCCTTTGGAGGCATGATAGATGGGAAGGCCAATGCGACCAATGCCAAGAGCAAGCTGCCAAAACTGACTCTGCCACAGCCTGGAGAGGTAAGTACTCGGATTAAAATATTTCACTTTGAAGAAACTGGCCAAAAGAACTAGGGAAACGCAGATATTTGGTGCAGATTTTAAGCTATGAGTTAAGAGTATGGTACAGGCCAACCTACATTGTCTCTGTTAACTTGGCTGACCTTGAACACGAGTTTTGGCTTAAGACCAGTGTGAGATTAGGTGTTTCATGGATACGTATGTTTTATAGCCACCACTTTGACCTTTTATATTTTATAATGTTCACTGTGGCACACTTGCAGACTTGCAAGACATTATTACATGGAGTTTTGTATGTTAAAAGAGCATATTGAAATATTTTAGGTGCATTATGATTCAATCAAAATTTTAAGCAAAGCATAAGGAGTTTTCAAAGAACAGGGTCTTGAAGTAACAAGGTTATGAACTTGAGTTATGTTTATTGCATTGTTTTGAAGAATTGCATTACATTCAAGAAAAATGCACTGGAGTTTGCAGTCTATAAATTCTGAGATTCTCTGGTACTCTTACATAATTAGCACACTATTCAATACATAGTAATAGCAAACAATAAACCATACATTTTGTCCTTAAGTTTAGGATTTCAAAATTAACTAAATCCCCTTAGATCAAAGTAGCATGACCACCCAAGACTTACTATTTGTTGCCCAGTTATAACTTCTAACTTTCTTTGCCAGAAGACTTTGGAAATTACATTCCCCTTACTTGCAGTGAACAGAATAAGTGTCTGTTATTAAAGTGGTATTTTTTGGGGGAAGCAGATTAACTTTGACTGTTTATCTTGCATTAATGTTCTAAGGCAAGAAAAGTTCATTTTAATGCTCCATTCAGGAGAATTTATGGAGCTTTAGCCCTGAAGCAGTACATAGTGTTCTTCTCAGCCAGTGGGAAGCTTGAGGTTATTTTTTCATGGTAAGAAATGTGATTACTTTGAAATTTAACTTTATAAGTTTACACTACAGCTGTTATTATTTTCTTTCACCTGAGGTCACAGACATGTTTTTTCAAACTGTTCTTCACACCTCAGTGCAATTTTGTCAATGCTTATGCCTGTCTTAAAATAATTAGAGGCAAATAGGAAAGCTCTTTCAGTTTGTCAAGACACAAATTGGAACAGGCGTAACAAGTCAGCTTCCTTTTTTCCCCCAGAAGTTTTTCCCCCAGGGGAAGAATAGAGGCTCTTTAACAGAATTGTTGGGAAAGCGTACAGTCCCTAGTGTCTGAAGAAGCCTTTGTTGTCCAGCACCCCAACACTGAATCTTTCAGGATTCTTAATACTACCAGAAATATGGGAAGAAAGAGCTTTCAATGCTAATATGAAGTGAGAAAACAATATTTACTTAGCTTTTGCTATGAACTTGTGATCTCAGGGTAGGAGATCGTTGCATAGTAGTTTGACCACTACTATGCAGTCTCTAAATTCTAACTACCATAGATTTTAGAGACTGCACAAGCCCTGTCGTAAAGAAGAAAACCATGAATATAAGATACTGTATGTGTTTAATCTATATTATTGAGATGAGGCTGGACTGAGTTACAAAATAAAAAAGTACTGAAGACTGAGTGTACAAAAAAGGAAGAAAATAAATAGACATATGAAGGAGGATTAGTTTTTAGTCTACTGAAATATACTACTTTATATATACACAAACATGGATTCTTCTTACCCAGACTAAGCCATGTGAATAACAAGTAGTAGAGTAGTAGTGTAATAATAGTAGAAAATACCAGTGGAGGATTTCAGTACATTATTGATCCCATAACATACTTATATCATTACTCCTGATTGTGCATATGACTTTTATATATACTGTATACAGGTATGTGTTATTATTAAATTTAAATAAAAGTGTAAAGATTGGCTGAAGTACTAGTAAGTTTTTAAAAGAACTGTTTTTTCAGTGGTCTTATGAATTTGTAAATTACAATTTCTATTATCTTTATGTAAATTTCATAGACTGATGTTTATACTGTAGAATCTGGCCTGATAATCTGGGTTCATCCTAAATTTACTCTTTGCAGAGGGACAGGCTTCTGTTGTATTTTGGGTATGACTGAAAAGTGGGAATAACCTTGTCAAAAACAGCCATTGTCTTACAGTATGTGTGGAAAATCCTCATATATCTCTCTATGCATTTGCCATGATTACTTATAAAAAAATAAATTCATTGTGATGATAAAAAGTGGCTGAGCTGTACTAAGATTATTAAGCATTCCAGAAAATGGTGGACATCAGAGCACGATGTGGGGATACACTTTATGTGTGCCTTTGGGTGTTCTCTGGAAAGTGGACTTTTTAAACAGCACTAATACACATATGCCCAGCTGTTGTGGACTTAGGTACTGTACCTGAACCTGCAGTTCACACAATTATAAAAAAGAGAAATCCCTTCCGCACCACCAAGATCTTTATTTTTATAACTTGATTTCCTTGTGAACTGTCTGCTTTTTTAAGTAAAACATAAAATAATAAGATAAATCTATCTTACATCTTATCTTACAAAACATACCAGACGTAGCCTTAAACAAAGGGTCAGCTTGTATGCTGACTTTTCTGGAATGACGTGCTGATCCTTGTTCTTGATTTTTTTTTTCCTTACTTACTATTGCCTGTTGGGACCACATTGAGAACATTTTTCAATTTTTGTCTTTACTCAAGTAGTCCAGTTTGATCCTGATCTTACAAAGGTGGTGCAGTATTGTAGTTGACTGAATTTTTTTTACATCAGAACTGCATGAAAGTTAGGTATAAGCAGAATTGCCAGCAGTTGCAAAAAGCAGCTGCTGTTGCTCTGGGATGCTTCTTAAATCGATAAAGAGCACAGTATGGAGCTGTTGTAAAAATCAACGCTGAATTGCAGCTGTGCTGGAGGGCTTTTAGGAGGAGCTGAGTCAGAATGGCAGCAATAGAGAGAGCTACTTGAAGTGCCAGGAAGCACTGAGCGAAGGTGCAGAGCCTGCTGCATGAAAATCCATCCCACATCTTCAGGTCAGATCTGTTACTGGCCACAGGATCACTCCTTGAAGAAATCTGCAGGGGACTAGTGGTGTCCATAAATACAGTCTTGATTTCTGTGTAATACTGTAATCTGACATTTATTATCAATGAGGTTTCAGCCATTACATTGCTTTGCAATCCCTCAGAGGAATGATTTTGAGTGATATTTCATTGTGATTAATTTGCTTTTAATTAATTTGTGTATTATTTGTTGTTTTTGTACTTGCTTGTTTTTGCAAATATTTCAGGCGTTTAACACCATAAGCTTACCAAATAATGCTTTTGATATTCAGCTTATGTGATGTTGCTCTAAAAATGTAAATTAATGATATACAGTACAGCCTTTGGGAAAATATATTCATTCATAGGTGCAGCAAGAGAGGTCATCCTCTCCAGAATGTTCCCAAACAAGAACAATCCCTGAAAGTATTTCAACTGATCTCAATAGAACTAGATACTGAGCACTTTACTGAATTTCCTTTTCAACATAAGTCCCGTTTCATGGCGTTTCATGGCGTTCGTGGTTTCATTCCTGATGTTATTTGTGGTTCTGTTTCCGTACTCACTGAGAATATAAACAAACTCATTTCATCAATCCTTTGCTCTGAAAGCATGTGAAATACACTAATTTTAACTCCTGTGAAAGTGACGGTGTGCCAGTACTGTTCCATTTTGTGAAAAAAATAAAATGTATAAATATGAAATAATACATTATAGAGCAGTTTGACATATTGCCATCGAACCATGGAAAGTCAACCAGCTGTTATATTACTTTGTTTAATAGTGTAGTGGAAGGCAATTTAATTTTAAAATCATGGAATATGGCGCAGACGTGTCTCGAAACATATGGTGCAGTTACACCATACAGTTTAGCATGTGGTACAAATAAAACCTGGGGAATTTTAATTGCTCCAGATTTGCTCTTCGAATGGTCAGCTCCTAGGAAAATGTTGATGGATGTTGTTATTGGACCGTCAAGAAGATGAGGAACCTTACCCCCTGCCACGAAAGCTCCAGCTGTTGCCTCACCAGTGACACAGATGCATTTGGAGATCTGTACTTACACTGGCTACAGGATGATTCTATCAGAATGGAAGCTTTCTCTAAATGAAAAAAAAAATCTTTAAGGGTTTTTATAACAAAGTAGTCTGCAAAAATTCTTAGATCTTAAAGCTTAATCAGTTTATTCTATGGCAATGTGCCACAAATAGGATTCAAGAGTACATCTCAGTCAAATTAATCTTAAATTTCTATTTGTCTAACATTCAAGTAATGGAGTCACAATTAGTTAAATGTTAGCATTAAAACTTTATGACTTATGTAAAAAACAACAGACTCTGTGGTTGTGTATGTACTGTAGATGTTTACCCATTTTGTGTGCTAAAATACTCCTAATACAGAATAAGGTTCCACATTTTTAAGAATAAAAAAGAGAAATAGTGTACTTTACTGAAACAAGTAGGCACGCAGATTATGTTTCCTTTTTGTTATCTCCTAAAATTTACCTTATCTTTAAACATGACTGAGAAACTTGTTTTCCTCAGTCATAAATTAAATGTGAGTGACTTTCAGTCCTGCATTGCCTCCTGGAAAATATTTTGACAGATTCAGTATGCGGTAAAGTGATAAGCGTTTGTTAAATGAGTTTCAAATCATCCTGTTATCACTGCTTATATCGATTAGCTCAGTGCATTCTGTGGTGACTCTGAAAGGCTGCCTTGGGTTTATGTCAGGACTATGAAACATTGACAACCAGATAACAGTATTGATCCCCTCAAAAACAGTTATTGCACCAGGTATTATGTGGGTTTTATATAACTAATAGTCTTATCACCATCCCTTTAAGTAGAGATTTTGTGAGACAATGAAATGGATTAAAGATTCTTTCAAAGCAGAGACAGCTTAAAAGGAATATCTTCTTCAAATACCTCTTATCATAATTCTCATCTACCTGATCTCTTATTTTCTTTATTTGTAGATCTGACTCTACATCTTTTTTTGA